CAAACGAACGGTCGGAAAGGATAAGAACTTTGTTAATATATGCATTGCTTATACACGCTAATATGCCATCATCCGCTTTACTTACAATTAGCGCGCCTTCATGCGTTTGTTTTGTACCTCGCGCTGCCATTTTTCGAATAAACGGATAGCCGATCACACGTCGGTTAAATGATAAAGTACTCGTTAATGATCATATATAATAATAACTGTGCGTAATTTTAGCCGGACAAACTCAGCGATAAAGATCCATTGAATGCAAAGACGTATGATAGATTTCCAGCTGATAGACGCTATTGTCTGAGATGTACGAAAAAAATATCAAGATAGAAAAACCTGTTTCATTATCACAACAGATCTCACGTTTCCGAGCACAATCGCGTGCATTACGTAATAATTTTCTACAAAAAGTATTTGATAAATATATACAAATTGAGATCTTACTTTTTGTTTATCTTGCTTTTTATAAACAATTGATTTAACAAACGCAGAAAGTTGCGATTAGGATTTTACTTCGCGTGTAATAAATGTTTCGTCATCGTGACGATGGAAATGGATTATCGCTCATACACACATGCGCGCTCGTTTTATAAAATCGTAGCTCATTCTTCTTATTTTATTTTACGGCGGAAAATTTTATAGTCGAGCTTCGCAACTGCGGTGCTGCGTCATTTGCTTGTTCCGGGTGGTGATGATTATCGATCTTCCAGCCGGAATTGTTCAATTACGCGCGGTTTTCTCCGAGCGTCTTCGATTCAGGTAAAACCATCTTCAGATAAACCATCTTGCAACAATCGACTTCGCGCACCGACCGGAAAGAAATAATAAAACAAGAAAACTTTGCCGGTCTACACAAAATAGAAATGTATTTGCACAAACGGCGCGTCATCGACAGACGCATTCAAAAGACATCTGGCGTTAACGAGGAAGACGTTGCTGAACAAATGAGAGCCGGAACAAAAGAGCGTTGTTCTTTCTTGGTAAGTCTCAGAATTAAGATAAACGAACGTGTAGTCGCGCGCACACATACACACCCCAATCCCTCGAGAAAACTCTCAAATTGTTCGCAAGAAACAGCCGCTTTTTCATCTAAGCTTCCGTCTGCCGCGTCTGCTGTTTTGGACGTCTTAAAGAGAGACCATCCAGCTCGATTAGATTCGTGGTCTGTTCGTGGACGTAACAAAACTCGAAGAGAGTTTTGCAAGATGCCGTAGAAATAATCATCACAGACTCGTCCGAGATCGTAACATAAGGATTTAAAAAAATTAATTAAACAAAGAGCGGTTAAGCCAAGCTTGGAACATTAGCGTAGTTGCTAACAAAAATAGAAACTATAACGTGTGCTCGTGAAACCTGAACACCGAAACATATTGACAATCGTGATAAAACAAAGAGTTAATACAAAACCCAATACCACTTTTTCTTTTTTTCGTCTATGTCCTTCAGCTGTCGTTTTATCTCAAAAATTAAACAAGAAGGATACGGTTTTATTCGTAGATATAATAGTTCTTGATTATTTTCTAATTGTTAGTACGAAGTAAATTTTCTTAGAAAGTTTTATGTTTTACTTAATTACAATGGTAAAAATAAAATAGTGATAAATATTTAAGTCAGGTGCATTAGCACATTATGGCGTTGTTAATAAAAGCGGATTTGTTTATTTTTCTTCTTCCAGCTGCGACGGAAGAGCTCGCGCGCGGATGCGATATTACACGCACGAGCGTCGACGTCGTGCTGCCGGTGGTGCGCGAGCACCACTGAAATTTATTGGGGGCCTCTGCCGCGTCGGTCCGCCACGGTGTCCGCGACAAACCGGAAAAAAAATCCGGAAGTTCTATTGTTCGTCAACGTAGCGAGTTTCACGGCAAAATATGATTTTCGCGCGAACAACCACCGCTCTCTCCCCCACTGCTTCAACAACAATTCCGTCGTAAGAAAACGCATAAAATACTGCTTCAAGGTTCGTCCCGGGTTATCGATTACGTCCACGGAAATCATTCTGGCCGATTTAACGCCGCGCAGAGTGTTACGTTGTCGCCGATTTTCTAACGATAACCGATACGCTCGATGATACGGAACACGTTAAAAGAATTTGCCGGAACTTGAATGTCTCGGCCAGTCGCGCGTGATTTTTCTCGACACGGCGTGATTGCGTTGAGAGGTACATACATAACACGGGACTTGTTTCGTGGCGAGCATGTAATTTCTAAAAGCAATTTTGTACGCTGTTGGAGGTAAGTGATCGCAAAGCACGTGGATGATTATATACAGTTGTGGTTTGTAAGTGATGTTCTATAAAAGCGACAAAATTGCTCGATTTTATTTTTTATCCGAGATATTTTTAGTTGCGTAACTCATTGTGTTACGATGATATCATATATCGAATAAAAATCTACGACAAGTTCGATCGCAAAACGATTGTTTTATATTGGACGTGATATATATATGTACATATATACACTTTATATATTTTTAGTTAAGCGAATAAACTACTTAGCGGAATAATTTTATTCCACTATTCTTTTCATATGCGAACTTCAAAAGTAGACGATAAATAGCAGAAATCCGAAATAGATAATTCAATTTCATGGATATTTTGTATATCACACTGATACATTGAAATAGCCATTATCAGTTCTGCGAACGCTCACGTCTAATCCATCTCGAATACTCAGAATTTTGACGAGAAATACCAATATTGCTATCGCGTAATGTGTGTTTTTTTGATGAGTCGGCGTCATAAAACTCGGATCTAATCTCCCATTAGAGATATCGTGAAACATCGACATAGCCGAAGTGCCTTTGATCTCGACGGATGCAATCAAACACGTATAATCGCAAGCGCACGCATATATGCGCGCGCGCGCCGCACCGGACGACGTAATAATAACCACGTGTAATCGAATCGGCAACGCTAATTTCGGTAATGGTCATATTCCGCCGTGCAAACGAACGAAAGAGCGTTGACTCATTTGGCGAACGTGTCTCTGAACACACATACGTGCTCGCGCTCGCAACTCAATTGTAATTGTAATTAACAGTTATTCGCTATGTACATATGCATAGATGTACGTACAATTGTTCTTATATGCACACGTGTAAGATAAAGACTCTAATCGTCTATGTGCGTAATATCGTACTCATCGGTATTTCTCATTTCTAGATACGTGATAATTATTTACACAAAATATTGCTAAATTGTCACACGTAATTTGATTGCGATTTATTTTTGAGATACCAGACAAACAAGATTTTGCTGGTCGATGAATTAAAAAGCTACTCATTACACATTGCTCGTTTTCAGATAAGTTGAAACACAATTCAAATTTTATATTGTATTTATGTATAATGCTTGTATTTTGTTAACTTCAACAGTTAATATTAATTGTTATTGAGAACTAAAATGAAACTAGCTCAGCAACACCTGGGAGAAATATCAGATTTACATAAACATTTGTTTATAGTATTGTCGATAGAGATTTTACAAATAGATAATAATACGCATATCAATAGTTTATAATGTGCGACAATAGTTTGCAATATCATGCATAGTCTAAAATAAGCACTGTAATATACGGATGTGTAATTCTAGAGATACTAAATATAATTCGAGAATAAAACAAAATCTGACGCACGCAACAGTAATCATTAAATATTCCTAATAATCCTTAAATGAGAAAACAGGTCCGTTTTTCATTTTATATACGTGTATGTCATATATAATATGTTCAATAATCATTTTCAATGGATATTTAACACAATAATACAAATTTATTGACGAGCATGTGCATATCGCATACACATATATATACATACATACATGTACAGTTATATCGCCCTTTTCTGTTTTGATTTTAGCGATTTAAAATATATAGAATCACACTCGCTATCTTACATAAGAAATAAAAATAAAAATAAAAAATAAGATACGATTGCAAGATGTGATCGGCTCTCGCGATCGAAAATCTGGCAATTGGTTGTTAATTGCACGGATAGTTTTCCGGGCGAAAAGAGTTGTGATGTATGATGACGCGTGCATGCGTGTTAAGAGGCCATCAGTCACAAGTGTAACACGGTTGTGCATGTAATTGCATGTACAAAGAAATTGTTCCGCATTTTGCTGACACCGGGCGCTTCGCGCTCAGTGGTTACGTGAGTAAATTAATGCGACGCAAACAACACATTTCTTATTTACTACGCCAACTTAAACTGTAGAATTATGATTGATGTGTCTCGTGTACCATCTCGTATCTATGCAAACATGACGTTACTTTGAGTCATGGTGATCGACTATCAAAAGCGCACGTGTATTTTTTTATGCTTTACATATCATGTTGTGTTTTGTACAAGTATATTATATTTTATCATAATATACACATATTTTAAATTTTATCCTTCTTTTTCTCTCTCTCTCTCTTTTTCAGAAAAGCGTCGTTTCGCGCTTTACTGGAAATGAATATAATGCCTTAATAATCCTGATGTAAAAATCCCATTGTTTAATTGAATCCACAATATCGCATTGAAATAACAACTGTGTTGCGCGACTTGTAGCTGAAAAAAACGCGTGAATACACACAGAGAGATAAAATCTCGCGTTTCTGATGGAATTAGAAATAACTTATTTATAAATAAACTTTTCAATCCTTGCATTTGCACTCTATTAATTTTATGTTTTATCAAGTTTTTTTATTCTAAGCTATCAAAGATAATTACTTAACACCGCCAGCGAGTGAAAGTATTTTTAATTTTTGTTTAAATTTTTTGTAAACTCGCGTTAATCATTATTATACCGCCGCGGTCGCTGTTTCGGATAGAGATTACACAGCACATTCCTTCCGCACGTGAATGACGTAACGATTAACGCGGGAAATCATCGGCGAGAAAATCGAGGAATTTACGATTGTCTGGATTTTCATTGATGTGATCTATGGCTAGGCGCCTTCACCAGGGAACCAGGACTTACAGAGTGGGAGATGAATTATATAGTAGTGTTCTACGGTGAGAGGTGTTGCAGTTACACATTGCACGTTCGCTGCTTCGTAGACGCGTCGTCGCACGTGCGCACCTTTACCGGATCACGTGTGTATCGAAGTGCATCGATAAGAGAGATCTACCACAGAAGAAAGAAACTATATCCGCTAGTGTGTAACGTTAGTATATCATTTAAATGTGATTTATAAAGTCGCACACACAAAAAGTCCAATCATTCTCACATCAATATCTCTCTGATAATCTCAATTCCATTTTATCGTCTTATCTAATCGTGCGATAATTATTGACTGAACTCTGCAAGAAGAGGAACGAGAGTTCTGTTCCTGCGAAACAAAGTTCCGAAGCATAAAAGCTTATCTTGCTTGCCTTTCGTGTTTTCCTCTGTTGTTTTTTTTTTTTTGTGCAATTTGCGTTGTAGCTTGTTGCAATAAATCATACACGCGTTTGCCATATACATGCTCAGTATACATGCTCATAGTTTGATGTGTGTACATTATAAATGGTAAGCATAAAACGCGATCTGTCACTCATGATGCACGCGACTCAACGAGATTCGAATATTTTCGATATTTCGGAATTTAGCTCGCGTTAATTAATATCGAATTTTCGATAAATTTTGTGTCTTCCTCATGGCACATGGCGCCATGAAGATAAACAGGTTGCAATTTTCATATTTATGCAAATTGATTGTAACAATCAGTAGTGCACTTGGCATGCGTTGCGAGAACTCTTTATATTAGCTTCGCTGCTTTAGGCGTTCCAATATGTAACGGCACAGAAAGGTAATCGTATTAATTAGAAATGTATTAATTAATACATTCGGTTAAGTTACAATTCTATTAACTCGTCTCACTAATCAAAGCGATATTTTATTTGGAATAAACATGGTGCTATTTTTCGCGCGTATATTACACGAAAGAAAAACCGTTTTATGGTAATGTCGTGATAAAACTTGCTGTTATCTATTTAAATTGTTTTTTTGTGTACAGAAAAAGACTGACTAATTGATGTTGAGCGTACGTATGTATGCTTGAAACTCATACTCGAAGTATCAAGAATATATTACAACATTGGAACTCTTCGCTTAAAAGCAGATATTAAACGTAGTATTCCCCGGATAAGCGCTAGAATTTAGGGCCAGAACATGCCGTTTATCGAGTGAACAAATACTGTTTGTTTTTGTTGCGATAGTCGTATAGACTCTAAAATTTTTCGGGATGAACGACAAGGGAGAAAGATGCAAGTGATCGTGACACAACGATCTTCTGTTGTGAAACGACACCGAGAACGACAACAAGGCAACAATATGAGTGAGCGAAACGAAGTGATCGCTCGCTTCGGAATTGTGACAAAAAAAGGTTAGCCATAAAACTGTCAATTTTTATGGCTGACTCCTTTTTTGCAGGAAAAGATGATATCGTTTAGCAAAGAAAAAAAATTGGAGTTGTTTATCCGGAACAAGCGGCGGCGAGTAAACGTCATTGTGATTCTGCTTGATTGGTAAAATCACATGACTCTTGTGTCGCTCTATATCGTGGAAATCACGATTTTATGTCATGTTATTGCACGTTTATCTGTTAGGAAATATCGCAATTACTTGATGATGATGATGATGATGATATCGACGGTTCTCTGTTACAAGCAACAGATATACATACATAGGTACATCAGATACACACAGGGTGCGTTCGCTTTGGGCGCTTACGCGCTTTAAGCGTCAGTTCGTCTTTATTATCAGCTCTGTAAATGTAGAACAGAGATAGACTGACGCTCAAAGCGCGTGAGTGCTCAAAGCAAACACATTTACAGTAATAACAAATGAGCAGAGACAACGAGCAATATATACGAATTAGAAATGTTATTTACATCTAAAAGTCACAAATAATAAATGATAACAAGTGTTTTTTCAATGAACAAATAAATGTTTTTTTCAATGAACAAATGAGTGTTATCACGTAAAGCAAACACACACACAATGAAAAAAATGTTAATTTTAGTGGATTTTTCCTGAAACATGTAAAAAAATGTTAAATTAACTCATTCGTCATGTGTTACTTACTGACAAACTAATAATGTTAAGTAATTAATTAATACAATATTTTATATTTGTTATTTTGATTTTAAGTGTGATGTAAAGATAAAATAATTAAAAACTGTATAAAAGAGTAGTTACAATAACTCTTAAGAAATGTTCTTTAAAAGAAAAACATACTTTTTATGTTAAATTAATACGTAATAATAATTATTTTAACTCGGATTTTAGTAAGTTTGATTATCTAGTGCGTCAAAGTTCATGATTATTTTAAGATTTATTTTAACTTTTCTTAGAATAATTGAATTGACTTTGAGATATGTAGATTAATTGAAATAAGTATGTTAAAAGCACTCAAAGTAATATCCCATTTTTAAGTGACATCAAAATGTTAAGTTATGAAGTTAACATAAATCTGACACATGTTGTATATTAATTTTGCATTGAAATAATAATCAAAACAAAATAACACAAAAAAATTGTGTTATTTTCTATTTTAACACATGGACTCACGAGTTTTTACTATGCAGTTATATAAATTTACAATTGATGTAGAATCACGCCGTTATAGAAATATATTGCAAACCAATAAATCCCGAACGTATATTGCTCAATTTTGCAGACATGCCATCATTGTGATATTTATTGTTTACAGAATGTCGTACAATCTGACGGTCAATCCGACATGCCCAGAACCCTATCTCGGCCCGAGTCTCACCCAGGTCTGTCCGGGATCGCAGTTTTTGACGTTTATGACAATCTTGGATGCGTTTGTGCGCTCTCAGGAGAAAGTATCTCAACTGTGCAATCGTGTGAGGCCGGTAGATCCACCTGAATATTATTACGATTTCATCGTTGTGGGCGGTGAGTAAAACGACGAAGATTCATAAATTTCATTCGCCGGTTTAACCTTCTCGCCATAAAATAACAAATTACAAACAGACACGATAAAAACAACTATCAATCAATAACAATAATTTTTTTACTCAAATTCTTTATTCATAACTTTTAAGATTTTTTAGACGCTTTTTATGAAATATTGTTTGTAAACTTTGGTGACATTGGTAAAATTGTAAATAATCAACAATTATACAAATACTCAATTGTTATTGTAGTAATATTAAAAAACAAATTTTTATTTAGTGCCGTATATTACTTTTTATACGTACGCGTTAATTATTGTTAAAGTCGTGATGTAAAACTTAATCAGATTTACACATGACGAAATTGCAAAAATGAACAACTTTCACGTGATATATAAAAACTATTTAGAAAACTGTTTAAGAAGTGATTTCTTTTGTTCATAAATCTTTTAAATGTGCGCGGTAAATAAGTCTAAGATAATAAAAACTTGTTTGTGAAATCTGTTTCACACAAAACAACGATAGAAACCGTCATATCCGGAGAACGCTTAATTAGGAATAAATCTAATGGTTGTTTATCGCATCGCTCGTGGAAAGGAAGAGTTGCCGCAGAAAAGAACGGTCGGTTATTTTCTAATGGACGAGTGAAATTGATCGACGTAATTGGAATGTATTCTCGTGTATGTTCCTTCCTGTGTACTCGATGTGATCGAGTAACCAGTTTGAGATATTGACACGAGCGCGTGATAACAATCGCATTAACCTTTAACGAGCAGATATCTCGCAAACCTGTATAAACAACGAATTATCTCGTTGGACAACGATAATTATTTTACAAACACGAATTTTGTTTTTCTAAAGAGAGTTGGTCAATTTCTCAATGAACAGATCACAAAATAACGTAATTTGCGACGCGCAGCGGAAACTAGACGACGCACGGCTCGTAAATGTCGTTATTCATTATGTGTAAAAGTCAGCGAACCGCAATGAAAATAACAAACTATCGTGCACAGCCTTCAAAGAGATAGAGATATAACGATGTGTCGAAACGCCGCTCATAACCCATTTTTTAGACAATAGAGGAACTAATACTAAAAACGGGAAACGGAACAAAGTGTCAGAGCACGCGTAATCCAAAATAATAGAGTAATATTAATAACTTAGGAAAATGTTATAATGGATATTCACACTATATTCGCACATTATTATTACTGCTCTGTATCTAGCAAATACAATACTCCAACGACAATAAACGAATATAATCGTGTAATCGCGCAATGAAATTTAATCAATATCTATACCAACACGATTGTTGTTAATAAAATATTTATACGAACATATAATTTATCTCAAATAAATAATATAGTAACAACTGATATTTCCTCTGTTCTAAATTCGAAGATCATCAAAAGTTTATAGTATCTTTTTAATATGATCTCTCTCTTGCACGCTCTATATTATTAATAATTTCTTTCTTTTACTTTTTTTATTTTTTCGTGTATATCTAGTTAATATTGACATGTACTATTGTATAATGTACAAACTTAGAAAATGATAAAGTTGTTTACAAAAAGAAAAGGATTATTTGTTATTAACTGTAATAACAGCAAATAACTGCTTTTTGATTTTTAAATACGTTTTTGGTTGGTAAAAATCGGCGTAGAGTTTTATTGTAAAAAAGAAATATATATATAGGTATATAATTGAATATGCAATTGCAATAAAATTCGTTCCATAAATTTCGGCCCGTGATATTTGCTATTCGCGGAGACGATACCCAGTGCACGATCGAGCAGATCGAAACTAATTTTCTTTGCTTCTCTTTCGGTGATTATTCCTGATCGGACTTCCGGGATATCCGCGCAGGAAGATGGAATTTTTCAGTGATTCGATCGGTTATTCGGTCGCAGTCGAATAACCGCGCTTTTCGTTCTCGCGCGATCGATCTTCTTCTTAGTCCAAATTTCTATTCTTGTTACAATCAATTAAAACGCGGGTGTAAAAATGTAATAAATGTAGAAAACAAAGTCTTCCTATCTTTTTTTCTTCAGATATATCATAATGTGATCGGTGTTTCTAATCAGAGATGCGACATCACATGTTATGTAAGAATATGTACATATGTATATACGTACATTTTTTTCTGGCTAAATATGTCCAGAAAAGAGACGGGTGGATGCAGAAATAAATGTGCGAGAGGCGCATCTGTGTGCGGAATGATTAATCGTTGCGTCGGTGTGGTTGGGGTGTATTATACCGCGGAGGTGAGGAGAAAATATTAATAATACCGTCGCTGAGTAATTAGTGTGATGCTTATTAATTATTCCGTCAATGCCCAGTCGGAAGAAAGAAGCTCGCGAATAATTATAATGGTGCAATGCTCGGAGCAGAAGTTGCGGGAGGCGGTAAAAGAGTTGAGTCGACTGGAGGAGCGAAAGAAAATGGGTTTTGTCATTATCATTAGAACCTGAGTAGGACATTGCCGCGATAATACCTTGCAAACTAAAATCGCGATACGCAAATAGCGCGGCGTAATGTAGCGTAATTGAAATAATTACGAAGGTGGTATTGTGAAACAGCTGAGAAAAAAAGCCTAATAAATTGTTTACATGATAATCAAAAGAAGAATAAAGATAAGAAAAATCTCATATTTAATTTATAGAGATAAAATATTTTCTTAAAAATAAACCAATTGATGAGAATAAAAATGTGTAATCGAAGAAAAACAATCGCATCTTTATTTTCTAAATATAAAAACAATTAGCAATCAAAAACATCAGTCTAAAATAATGCATGTAAGAAAATAAATACGGTTGTTTTGCGCGCAGCTATTTATGCTCGTACAAACAGTTTTGTACGTACATAACGCTGGAGCTAAAAATCCTTTTGGAAATCCGTCAAAATCCACAAGCATTTTTTTACGCACCGTTTATTCAAAGTTTTGTTGCAAAACAAAGGTGAAAACTTTTACTCGCGTGCTCGGATATAAAAAAACCTTGCACTAGGAAGAGCTAGATGAAGAAATATATACTTATGAATAAATTCATAATGTGACACAACAGTAACAAATGAAATAATCACTGTAAAACGTTTTGCAACAATTTTGCACTATAAACTGTACTGGGAACAATAAATTAATAAACGAGATGAAAACATTTTTATGCAATAGCGTTCTCGCAGTAACAATAAATATACAATTTCCACGATTCGTTTTCGTGGGAATTTAACAAGCTATTAAAACGCTAATTAAAAAATAATTGGAAATAGCTCGGTTTAAACGCAGCGCGCGGGATCGACAATGCTTTCCCGGAGTTTCTCGCATTCCACTTTCGTCGAGTGAAACGGAAAAACGCTGTAAACCTCCCGGGTAGCGTTTACATGTTTACTACCGCCAAACAGAGTTATCACGAATCGTCGCCCGTGCCACAGTGGCAATTGTTATTTGTCGTTTACAGAAGTATTCTGTGCTCTCTGTCTGTCTGTCCGTCTGTTCGTCTGTCTGTCTGTCTCTCTCTCTTCTTTCTTCTTTCTCTCTCTCGCTCTTGCTCTCCATCTCTCTTTCATGTTGCAAAATGCAATTGGACGCACATCCCGTTCAGATGCGATATTAATACAGACGTTATTTATCCGGTCGCGAAGCGCGTGATTATTGTATCATTAATTTAATTACCGCCCCGCGGCTTCTCTCTCATCCACCCTCGGAAACCACCTCGTCCGGCGTGACCGTCGCATCATTACACCGGCGACGCTACGTTCCATTATTCCATACGCTTTCGCGTCCGAACCGTCGGGAGATATAAATCCTCCAAGGTGGCAAAATTTGTTGCGGGAACAAGAGAGGGTGGTAATAGTAAAGTGGTGCGGATCGCTCGCGCGCGCGATTGCATGGCGATGCGGAGAACGGCGCATAATGTGATTTAAACGGCTCAACGAATTTTATACGCTCTTTGCATTTCGGGATAATTCGTACCGGCGACGCGATCGTCCATGCGCGAACGCGTCCGACGTGCATTTTGTTTATACATTTTAGCGACTGTCGCGACTATCGTGAATGTCGTTAATGCGCGCGACAACTACAGCGAACGTAGATTCGGTATTATAGCAAATTTTGCAGTTTTACAGATGTTGAAGTCGAGTAAAAATGTAATGTGATTAATAATTGTTCAGACAGATAAACGACAACAGCAGTTTTGAGAGCTATATATATTTTAGAATTTATTTTATTTAAAACACAAAATATAAATTAGTATTCCCGGTAGAAGAGATTACAGGTGAGCAATGTGTTTAGTCTATTGAAATATTTGATGATAAATATATACTATACGCTGTATACTTAGGGTAATAAGTTAAAAGTACGAGAGTTGCATCTACGAGACCCTTGTGTCTACAAACCTCCAAGTTCGCAATTTTTCACGGCAATAACCAGGCAGTGAGATCGCCCGTGTTTTTCCCTCCGATAGGGGCGTGACTTTTCCCCCGCATTTTTCGCCGATCAAACACGGCTGCCCGCACAGCTAGAAAATAAAATAGCAGCCGAGCGGAATAAATGCGCATCATTCTGCATCTGCAACGCGTCAAAATACGATGCGCTAAATATTGTCTGAAAAATAGATGCTAGCCGCGTTGAAATCGATGCGAAATTGCGACAGAGCTGCCTCCTCCTCCCTCTCTCCAAAGAGAGAAAAATATTCCTGCTTTCTCGTTCCATTTTAATAATTAGATATCGAGAAACTCGGAATATATATATATAATATTCGCGACTTTTTTAATTTCCATCGTAATTCATGCATCTCCTGCAGATGTGCATAATATCGCGCACGATAATTCATACGAATATTCAAATGCAACTAGTTAATGACCGCTGTAATATCCTTGATATTTCTAAAGATTATTTGCATTGCCTGTAAAATATTCTTTTTCCGCGTTCAGCTTAGTTTGAATATATTTACGATCATATGTTCAAATTATGCGCGGTCGAGAAATGTAAGTGGATTTCTAATT